GTGCACAGGGGGGCATGGAGCAACCTGCTCTGGTGGAAGGTGTCCCTGCCTATGGCAGGGGGTTGGAACTGGATGACCTTAAGGTCCTTTCCAACCCAAATCATGCTATGATTCTGTGTAGGAGACATGTTAATAGCTTATACTATGGCTAAGGACCCATAAACATGGCAACTAGCTTCACCCAAAGATGACAGTAACACTTCCAGGTTTTTCTGCCCACTTTCTACTGGAAAATGTTTAAGCCACTCCAGGTAACATTTCCCTCAAAAGAAACAGTCTTATTGGAAAAAAGAAGGCAGTCAGTACCCCACCATATGCAACCATAAACAATAACACTTAAAAGCATTTCTATCCTATGCAAGCACTCATGCAACAATCCCATCTTCTCATGGCACGTAAGGCAGTAATGGGAGTGGCTAGGGATGTGGGATCAGGCCATCATTTGAGTAATTAACGAAACAAGTCAGCAGTATTACAGCTAATTATCACATTCTGGGCTGCTTTTAGATGTCAAGATTAGCATTCCATTGAGAGGAGTGACAGCAGTTCACTTGCCTTTTAAAAAAACCCCGCCATCTATGTGCAGACTCTGGAAGTCACCAGAAACACCTCAGAAAGATTTTCTTTAAAGTCATCATAGTTCAGTGTTTAAAAGATTCCATTAAAAAGGAGATTTTTTCTTTAATGGATATAAGCAGCACCCCTTCAAAAATCATGTAACCTCCCAGGATATGAGTCCTGCGATACCTTTTCAGGTGTGTCCGGTCCCCACTGTCAGAGCTTGCTACAGAAGATGTGTCATAGGAGTGTGTATCCGTGTTATCAATATTCAAGAGAAAGGGATCCTCCAAAATGAAAGACTCTTCTTCATCATCAGTCTGAAGGAAGAGAATCACCACAGGTTACTACACGTTCAAAACGCACAACACCCGAACTGGAACATTAGCGAAACAGCATCAGTTGAGCAGAAAAATCAAGAAGGAAAGGACAAGACAGTCTCACATGTAAAAACAGAACAATTTTATGATTCTGTCAAAAAAATGGTTTTCAGAATTCACAATAACCACAGAAGTGGGCTGGAGAGTCAGTCAACTGATCTTTCTTCCCCAGATGCTACCTACTCCCTGAAAATTTCAACAGACCTTTAACTAAGCTGTTCTCAGAAGTCTCCAATTGCTGAGAGAAGGTCTAGAATTATTATTCATCTACTCCAGCTCTTCACCAAATGGTGGCTAAGAGTCTAGCAATCCCTCTGGCTGTTATGAGGGTTGATTTTGCTCTTCCCTGTGCCCTTCTGCTGGTGATAATCCTTCTCTCAGGCTTAGCCTGGAATCTTTTTGAATGGTATTTTTTAAACAGCCGTTCTCCCTAATGTCTTCTAAATTCCATACGGTTCACACTGTTCTTGAAGCACAGAGCCAGAGAGAATGAACAGCCCCACCTAATGCCAAATGTACAGAGAATGGAGCAGGTGCCCCTCCACCTTGTCTAACAGCTGGCAGTCCTGTGCCCATTAAAGTGCCCCTTTTTCCAGTGCAGCTGTATTCCTTTTTGGCTCAGTTTGGCTCAATCTCCATTCAAACCCTTTCCAGAAGGTGCTCCGCCAGTCATTTCCACCCCGTATATAAATCAGCGGAGTAAGACTTTGTATTTGTTTGCACTGAACTACACGTTCATTGTGATTTCATCTCAAGTTCAAGATTTGGGTTCTAATCCTCTGACATGGTAGTGACTGCATCTCTTTACAGTTTTGTATCATCCAAAGTTAGTAAGTTCTCTCTGACTTCATCACGCAAGGCATCAGCAGAAACAGGACACACCTTTGTACACTGCTCCTCCCCTACTATTCCTCTCATTCCCAGACTGCATCTGTTTGGGATACCTTATACCTGCATCTTTAACACAGCTTTTAAAAAGACCCATCACCTCTCCCAGCCTTCTTCTCACTTTATGCTGGGTTCCTAGGAAGTCTAACCATAATTTCCTCAGTTTGTTAAAACACTTGTTTTCTTAAGAATTTATCTCTACTTCCATGCCCTTCTTTTTCTTTCTAAGGATCATGCACTCATGTTGTTATTGTAAAAAATGTGCCAAATTGGATATAAGCAAGACAGAGTCAGTTCTCCTCTGCAAGGTACTACAGGCAATATCAGATGCTGAGACAGTTCATTACTCTTGCCAGAGGGCTACATACGTGAAATATACAATATAAAGAGTTGTGAAGAATCCAGTTCTCATCTTCTCCCACAACTGAAGAATTACCCCGAATTCTCTGCATTTATTTTTAGCCAAAAAGAAAAAAAGATGTTTGATGACCCTGACCTTTAATGGATTTTAATAGCCTTAAGGTGACTGTCCAAATCTACAGGTGAATATGGTTAAATTTGATGGAAATCCTTTATATATACACCTAAAGGGGGCCTACAAGAAATCTGGAGAGGGGCTTTTGATAAGGGCCTGTAGTGACAGAACAAGGGGGAATGGCTTCAAGGGATTCAAACAGGGGAGACTGAGATGAGACATTAGGAAGAAGTTCTTCCCTGTGAGGGTGCTGAGGCGCTGGCACAGGGTGCCCAGAGAAGCTGTGGCTGCCCCATCCCTGGCAGTGTTCAAGGCCAGGTTGGACACAGGGGCTTAGAGCAGCCTGGTCCCTGTCCATGGCAGGGGGTTGGAACTGGATGTTTTTTTTAATCCTCCCAACCCAAACCATTCTATGTTTCAGCAGTGGATATTTTGATTAAAAACCTAAACAAAACAAAACCCAAACGTATGACTCACTGTACAGCAATTACTCAACTGAGCACGTGCTTTGTCAGGTATCAGTATCAGGAAATTATCAAGTTATAAGTTTTATTTCCCACAAAAACACAGTATGAGAAGAGCCACAGGAGTATGTGCTGCTGCATCTTAGCTCCTCCCTGTGTTGGAGCTGGTTGCATGTCCAATGGACTACTCACCTCATTTAAGATGCTCTCCAGTGTTGGAGGGGTATCAACTTGAGGAATGTCGAATTCTTTGTCATCAATCTGTACATCAGAAACCACAGACTGAGTTTAGGCTGCCTACACCACCTTCCAAACTTGTTTCTGGCTAAAGAAAAACAAACCTTAAAAGCAGCTATGTATGCACTCCTTCCAACTGGAGCCTGCCCAGAAAAGCACTATACATACTACAGTTTCTCCTATTCAAAACGCAATCTCTGAAACCTGGCATTGCCAGACAGAACAAGAAGTATTTGGCATCTAAAATATAAAATAGTTCTCTGACCTATGGCCAGATATGAAATGTCAAAATGCCTTTTTCTATGTGTAAAGATCGCTATCAATGTTATGCTGCCTTTTTAATACCCACAGACATCAGTACACAAGATTCTTTTTTCCCTGACTGCTTACTAATGGGAAACCCCCCAGTTTTCTGAAAAATACAGGTACTTTTACCAGAGCCTTCGCATTACTGAAGATCAAGCTTTGCTGTAGCAGGGAGCTAGCGCAGCACTTGCATCCCGCTCACCCACCGCTGCCCTGTCCCCATAGACCCTCCCCTCACGGCTGCCTCAGGGAGCTCCCGGCCGCCAGCGCCGAGCGGAAGGGAGGGAGCGGCCCGGCCGTGGCCGCCTCCCTCAGGCTGGTTCTCCCTGAGGGAGGGAGGGAGGGAGGGAGCTCCGGCAGGCGGGGAGCTGCGCCCGAACACAACATCGCGACGCACCAGCTCGCTGCGGCAGTCCAGCTCGCGGTC